TTTAACAATAGCTAGAATTTATAGTTAGTTTTTTTTTATTTATTTATTTATTTTTTTTATTAATTTAAATAAAAAAATTTCAAATGTACCTTTTGAATGCTTGTTAATTTTTAAATATAAGTAATCACAAGTAAAATTAGTTGGCCGATGTTCAATATATAATTTTATATTATGAATAGGACCAAGTAAACCTTCAGGATCAGGTGGCACTGAGATAGTTAATGAATCTAAGTTGTCATCAATGCCATCTTAATCGTTTTTTGTGAGAATTTTGTGAATTATAAACCACCATTTGAAGTAAAAACAAATTGAGATACATGCATTTCACCATGCTCACCGCCCTGGGAAGCAAACAACAAACAGCACCACATAAATATACGATACTGCAAACCCTGTGGGTAAGAGATAGATGTTGCTTCATGTGCAAATATTGTTTGAATTTCTGTAGTAGTTAATGGATCATGATGCTGGGCAACTTTTCCTATTTTCTTAAATTGCTTCATTTTACCATCTAGCGTCTTCTATAGATCTCTAAACTCTTGTTTACTGGCCAAGTTATATTTATTAATATTTAAAGAATTATCTAAAAGATACATCGCAAGACAATTAATAGCATTGTGTAATGATGAAGGTGCATATTTCTCCCCATCTTTTAATTTTCGTATACCACACACAAACTCGATCATTTCTTGTTCAAGTTGTGGTTTATTTTGAATAGTTTCAATTGAATAATTATAACCAACATTCTCGCGCCAATTATTTAATATTCGAACCCAGTTATCAATCGTCTTTCTTGTGTTTTCTGGAACTGTAGAATTTTTTATATGTTGTATCTCTTCACTAGAAGGTTTAAAGCTTCCAGTATTGGTTTTAGATATTTTTTGCTATAAAAAATAAAAATAAAAAAATAAATATTCTAAATTTTTTCTTTTTTCTTATTTACTTGATTTAAAATTCTTACTTTGGATATTTTTTTTTAAAGCGTTACAAGATGAGTGATACAGTAATACCAGATACAAGGTGAGCGATATAGTAATACCAGATATAACAATACAAGATGAGCGATACAGTAATACCAGATATAGCAATACAAGGTGAGTAATACTAGATATGATGGTACAGAGTAAGCGATACCAAATGCAGTGATACAAGATAGGAGTAAAGGTGCAAAATTTTTTTTTTATATATATCTATTTATAAAGAATACGTCATTAATAAGTTAAATTACTATTAATTTAATTAGCTTTTA